GGTGTGGAGCAAGGGGACAAAACTCCTCTGCTGCTGGTGAGAGTGCGAACTTTTACAGCCACTGTGGAAATCAGTATTGAGACTCTTGAGAAATTTGGTTATCAATCTATCTCAAGACCCAGTTATACCACTCCTGCTCATATACCCAGTTGACATTCCATCCTATTACAAAGACATTTGATGAACTATGTTCATAGCAGCTTTACTAGTTATAACCAGAAACTGGAAACAACCTAGATGCCTCTCACCCAAAGAATGGATAAGGAAAATGTAGTACATTTACACAAAGGAATATTACTCAGCTGTTAAAAAAAACCAAAATTTTCAGCAAATGAGTGCTTCATTCTTATATAGCAAGAAGTAATGTCCTTTCTCTGAGAAGGGATACCTGGCAGTATTAGCTCATGCTGATATTAGGCAGGGTTCTTTGGAACAACAGAAAACAGAAAAAGTATATATATGACAGAAAATTGACTGATTAGGTTTGCTTAGAGAGAAGTGGCTGCATAATCTTTGGCAATGTTCATGGTCAAAAGTCTGAGGACCTGTAGCCATTTAAACCACAAAAGGCAGCTTCACAAGCCTTTATCTGGCACCAGAACCTGGAGATTCTTAGAAGTTAATGACAGTCTGTCTGACTGTCTAAATGACTAAAGAGCTTAGAATTCTTATGGCAACTGATGATTGCAGCAGCAACAGCAATAGCAAAACGGATTGACACTCACTCACCAAGAATCAAATGCAGGAATGAAGGAAGGTAGCATTGATTTTTCTTCATGCTTCTCTCATAGGAGTATACTACAAACTCTGAGAGGAGTCATTTCTGGAAACACTCTCAAAACACATTGAGAAGTTTGTTTCCTACTAGATTTTAGATCCTTTCAACTTAACAATAAAGATTAACTATCACAATAAATATCATAGGATTAATGGATGAAGGATATGGATCAGAATGAGTGAAGATGGGATGGGCCAAGAGTGATTTTCGAAGTCCTATCTCCTAATGGCTTTACTAGTTTGACATAGCTAAATCACCAAGATGCAATCTATCAGGAAATAAAGCATCTCTAAACCAAAGCACTCTATGTCTAGGAATAGGTACCATATTTACAGTACTACTCTAAACAGTCTTCAACACTGGTGATTTTAATAAAATATTAATGAAGAGTCATTTATTTTCATGAGGTATGAGGTATTAGCTTTCAAAATAACATATTTGGGTGGGTATAATTTGAAAGAAATCCAAATGCAGAAAATTAGATAATTTGAAGAACAAATTTCACTTCCTGTTGTCCGGTTCACTCTGATTCTTATTTCTTTTGGAACATAGTATACAAACCTAAAATACCTACATAATCTGATCTGGTTTATCTCTTCTCATAACCTCTCATTCACCAGTAAGTCCTGTGCATGGCAAATAGCAAAACTGCTGGCATATAAGTCACTATGGATGTTAACCTACTTGTAGTTTTCCTTCTTCCTTTAGCGCTACTCCTTCCAACCAGCTCAATGGCCAAAGATCTACTCATTCATTGTCTACATGTTCCAATTGCTTAATCTCATAGAAAATTATGAGCCCCATTTTCAAAAACAACCTTGTAGAGAAAGGAACTAAAATACTGTCTAATTGCAGCATGCACTTTCCTCATTCTGCTATAATGAAATAATTCTCAATGATATTCTCCTATATTGCAACATTTTATTGTAGAAGAAAAGTGTGAGCAATAGAAAGTTGGGTTGATACATTTTAACCAAATGAATAAAGTATAGTATATTTTTTGACATATTTCAACATAGATGGTATCTGATATATTAACAATTATATAGGCTTTATTTTTGAAAGTGAAAATTTAAAAAAAAGGTAGGCTCATGGGGTTATAGACTGCTATTTAAAGATTGAGAAAGATGTGAATAATCACTGGAAAAAGTCCAACTTCCAACTTCTTATTCAAAGAAGTAGATTTTGAAGATGCAATTCTATTAAAACGAAGAGTGAACTTTTTAGGAACTGAACACCCAGAGTGCAGAGGCTACATAAGTTGTAGATACAAGTAACAGTTGTGCATTTTCTTCATTTGGACATACTGTTTTCTTGGAATTAGCTGAGGATTTGCTGCTGTGATTGTCTGATATAGGATTTTTTTAAACTGCCAAATGGTGGCAAATAAAGTAGTTACAAATGAATAGTCTTCAAGCTAGTGCTTAATAGGTGAAGACTCATAGAGAGCCAAAGTTTGAAACTGTTAGAAAATTTAAAGATGATTCAGTAATTGCTGTTAAATCATAGGGTTATAGTTAGTATATGAAGGGAGTATATGGATATTTTAATGCAAATTAGAAAATATGCAAATACATGTAGAATTTAATACATTACTGCATTCAAAATATAATGTAACAATAGTAATTTTGCTAAATGTAATGTGAGATAATGAAATGCAGATATTCAAAGTTTGGTTCAGATAAAATAATGGTAGAAAACAAAATATTGGGATTGGATAAACAAGACACCTGTTGTATCTTCCAAGGTAACAAGGAAAAGTACATGTTTGAAGCAAGAATCACATATTTCTGAAAATAAGGTGGGGGGAGTAAAAGATAAAGGGCTGATGGCTACAGTTGGTAGTGCTTCAAATGTTAGAATAACCCAGGGGCATGTGCTCATAAAATCAAAACCAAGAGTGCAATTTGATGACTGAAGTGTACTGTAACTGTCCCAAGAGACTCAATTTAGGAAAAAAACAAGTTCGATTTTCAGAAGACATTTTAGTTTCAAAATGTTTCTTATTCCTACACTGATAACTATAAATTGTTTCTAGTTTTAACAAAATAATATAGCATTTGAAGAGAAAAATGCATCCTAGGAGTCCAGCACCAGAAGCCAAGATAGAAAAGACCTCAGTGGCCACTACAAAATAAGGTGTGAGGACCAGAAACTAGAAGCATTTGGCTTTTTAAGCTTTCAGGCTTCTATCAGCACAGTTCAGCTGAGAGCCATTCGATATGAGGACACAGAGGCTTCCAGTCTGAGGAAACAAGACCAGCTGAGAAGTTGGCCAGGTGAGGTTAGCTGTGGCTTGTTCTGTCTCTCTGACCATCCAGCATTTCACCCCAATAACATGACAACTCAATTGTAACTGTAAAAACCAGGGCCAGGTATTTGAAATTACCTTTCAAATAATTGGTCGGGGCAGTCAGAACGACTTCCCAAGCAATGCAGTTTATTTGGACTTGCTGGTGGTTTCCTTCAGGACTTGATGATGAGCTCATATGGCTGAAGATACTACACACTTATGGACACAGCTGAATCGAACCTGAAAGTGACTTCCTGTGTTCTAGTTTCAGTGATTACAGAAAATACTATACAAATTTCCAAAAAGGGAAACAAATATACAGTCCTATCTAACCACAGAATATATGGATCATGGCAATTAACAGCCTGACAATGTGTGTGTGTGTGTGTGTGTGTGTGTGTGTGTGTGTGTGTGTGTGTAAGAAATGGCACTCACTCAGTGGCTATCAACAACTGTCTAACTAGACTTATGCCCAACTCAAGAGGAGGGAAATCATAATTGTTATTAGAATCCTAGCATGCTTCTTGAGGCTAGTGAGGTTATGGACCTTGAAAAAGTATCTACTACCACTACTTTGCTAGACCATCATAATTCCTTACTAAGTTTTAAATCTTATCTTTATACCCACATGTAAGTGTAGTTACCACCCCACCCTCCATTCCAAGAAGCTACTTGTTACAGTAAATGGAGACCATCACAGAAATCCACAACTGGAAACACTATAGATATTACCAAATCATGGGATGCCTATCCCCAGTGACTAGATCTATATACAGCCCCTGCATCTTCAGCTCAGGGAACATCACAGATGAGTGGTTGCAAAGATTGTAAGAGTCAAAATACCAGAAAGTCTGCTGTGAAACGGTCTCTCCTAGAACTGGCTTCATAAACAGGACCAGAACAATGGCACTATCAAAGGACATGTTAACAATAAAGGGAAAATATTTCACAGGGTCCATGTCTAGAAAAAGAACTGCAGAAGACTAATGACTGCCGAGAAAAGGAAAAATAGCATTTTCCCAGGAACTAACCCCCTTGGTTTTCCAGAGTGGCCAGGCTTGAAACCAAAAACACACAAACAAGGAAACAAGATCATCAAGAAATACATATTGGGATGGGAGAAATTTAAGGCAGGGCAGGTGACAAGAAATGTAGCGAGGAAAAGGAAAGGAAGTAATGCAATTCTATTTCTATGAAAACATAATCAGATTTCATAAACAAGAAAAAGAATCATTGTTGTAGTGTGGATGTCCTAGACTTAACTGCACTGGTTGTATGAATAGAGTCATTTAATCCCATGGGCTGATATGTTGAAGCTCAACCCCCAGTGTGGCAATGATGAAAGATGGTGGCATTTGGGGGGAGATAAGACCCACAAAGAGGCCACCCTGTAATTGCAAGTGTTGAACTTTGAAGGCATTGAAGTTGATTTAGTCAATCAACTTTTAGTCAAAAAGGTCAATTGACCTTTTTAGTCAATACATGAGAATAATTGACAGAGAACAAAAGTAAGCCTGTTTTCACTGTCTGGCTCTTGTCTTGCTGTCTAATCATATCCCTGACAAGAGACCATTTTATGTAATGCAACACAATTAAGGTTAATGTGAGCAGAGGCCAAACTGATAGACTGCTCTTATACTTTCAAACTTCAAAACAGTGACCAACAGGAAATTGTCTAGTATATATAGTTATCATAGCGCACTAGGGTTTGGGGATACAAGTAACTTTTGATATGAATGAATAGTAATATTTCTATTGCACAAATTTGTGTAGTCATACAACATCTCTGTTCATCCCTGAAACTATTTTTGAATCTAAAATTATATCTTGATAAATATTTTATCTTGATAAAAAGAGAGGCAAGGCACATGTCATTTTGTCAGTTTTGTCATGAGCCTCAGAACTGTGACATCACAGTGGTCAGTCACCTTGACTACTGCAGACTCCTCAGACTTCAGTAGTTGGTCTGCCAACTGCTGTAGCTATCTTTGGTGTTTAGTGCCAAGGAGGAAAGGTAGAATTGCAAGCCCATTGAATGGCTCTCCATTCCAGGCTCTGCTGAAAAGGTATTCTTCTAATATCCACTTTTGATCCTTAGGCTAGACTGGTGCTTTCAGGAGATGTTTTGTCTTGATTACTCAAGATTATTTGAACTAATTCTTACACTTCAGGTCTAGCTTCATAATAATGTTAAGTGATGTCCTCTAAATAAAGGAGACTTTATAACGTCAGGGGAGGAATGTTCTGAACTACATGGTCAGAAAATGTCTGTAAGTCTATTAAAATGGCTGAGGTTTTATGTACTGCTCAGTCTAGCTGTTTTAACTATTTTTACCATAGAACAATGCAGAATAGTGGTTACATTTCATCTACAGTTCTAGAAACTCTCTTGTTTTTAGGAATTTTTTTGATGTTTTCAAAATCATTTGGTGTTCCTCAGCACCTATTTCCCAAAATTTGAGCAATGCTTATTGCAGAAATAACTGTTCAAGAATTCTCTCCCACTTGAATTTTACCATGCAACTAAATTTGAACTACTTGTTCACATACCTTCTCAAATTTTTCAGTATGGGGATAGCTACTATTTTTTTAACACCTCCTTGTCCCTTTTGCTTCAGCCCTTGTTCCATAAATATTTATGAGTCTTTCTTGAAAAATGAAGCATAGAAAATTAGGTAAATATGTGGGTGTATATACATCTATGTGGGTGTATATACAAATACACTGTTTAGGTAGCTATGCTGCATAGATTAATGGGATTTCTAATACTGTAATTCAATCTCTTCAAAATTTTGTGACTGTACATTTTCATTCCTTAATTTCAATGACGTCTGTGAATTTTGAAAAGCTACCTAATTGAAGCATTTCCTTGGTTTCAGCCTCTCTTTTGCATTGTAGAATTTGTATTTTTCTAGTACCTTTTACATAGATATTAATGTTTAAATAATTGTGAATAGCAGTCTGATCATATACTTATACTCTTTTTGGGTCTGGGTTACCTTCCTCAGGATGATTTTTTTCTTTTGCCATTCATTTGCCTGAAAATTATGTTTTTCTTAACCGCTGTTTACCATCCATTGTGTAAACATGTCACATTTTCATTATCTATTCTTCTGTTGAGGCAAATCTAGATTGCTTCCAACTTCAGGTTGTTATGAATAAAGCAGAAATAAACACGATTAGGCTAGCGTGTCTCTGGTAAGATGGTATATACCCAAAGATTGCTTAATATTGTGGTATGTTATTTCCCATCTTCCTGAGGAAGCAACACACTTATTTTCACAGGGGTTATAAAACTTTGCCCTCACAATAGCAATAGATGGGTATTCCAATAACTCCACTAAGATCTTTGCCATTTTGAGCTGTCACTTATTTTTATTAATCTTCGCAGTTATAACAGGTATAAGGTGAAATCTCAAAGTAGTTTTGATTTGCATTTCACTGGTGGCTAATTTGAATGTTAAGTGTTTCTTAGACATTTGAGTTTCCTCTATTGGTAATCCATTGTTTTATATCTGTACCCCTTTTTTTAGTTGGCTTATTTATTTTTTTGATATTTAGTTTCTTTGAATTCTTTATGTATTTTGGATATTAGCCCTCCTTTGGATGTGTAGGTGGTAAAATTTATTACCATTCTATAGGCTGACACTTTGTGTGGATGATGGAGTTCTTTGCTGTACAGAAGTCTTTCGGTTTCATGAGGTCCCATTTATTGTTGTTGTCTTTTTTCCAGTGCATATTTCTGGTTCATTTCTCAAATCAAGGTTTCCATAAGTGTGTGGATTTATGTCTGGATCTTCAATTTGATTCCATTGATCAATGTCTCCGTTTTGTTTTGTTTAGTTTTGCCAATATGATGCTGTTTTTATTAATCTAACTCTGAAGTACAACTTGAAATTGGGAAATTTTTTGATTATTCAATTTTTTTTTAGCAATTCTGCTTCTTTTGTGTGTGTGTGCGTGTGTGTGTGTGTGTGTGTGTGTGTGTGTTTCATATGAAGCTGAAAATTGCCCTTTTAAGATCTGTGAAGAATTGTATTGGAATTTTGATAGAGATTTCCTTGAACGTGTAGATTGCTTTTTGTGCTACGGCCATTTTTAATATATTAATCCTACCAATGCATGAACATGTGACTTCTTTTCATATTCTGACATCTTCTTCAAATTCTTTCTTCAACGTATTGATGTTTTTAATCATATGTCTTTTTCCAGCTTAGTTAGATACTCCAAAGTATTTTGTATTAGTTGAGACTATTGTGAAAGGTATTGTTTCTCTGATTTCTATTTTAGCCAATTTGTCATTTGATATAGTAGGGCCATTGATTTTTGTGAGTTAATTTTGTTTCCAGCTACATTCCTCAAAGTACTTATCAATGTCTGAGCTTCTCGGTATAATTTTGAGGTTCATCTATTTTTACTATCATATTATCTGCAAATAAAGATACTTTGACTTCTGCATTTCCAATTTGTATCCCTTTGATCTCTTTCAGTTGTCTTATTACTCTAGTTAAGATTTCAAGTACTATATTGATACATATAGAGTAGACACGCTTGTCTTGTTGCTGATTTTAGTGGAATTGCTTTGAATATCTCTCAATTTAAGTTGCTGTTGGCCTTGGATTTGCTATAAACTGTCTTTAGTATGTTGAGGTATGCCCCTTTTATCTGTAATTTCCCCAGGACTTTTATCATGAAGGGGTGTTGGATTATTTCAAAGTCCTTTTCTACATCTAATTAAATAATTATGTGGCTTTTTCCTTTGGTTTGTTTATATGGTAGATTAAATTTATCAATACACATACATTGAACCATCCCTGCATCTCTAGGATGAAGCCTACTTGATCATGGGGGATAATCTTTTTTGATGTGTCCTTGGATTCAGCTTCCAAAAATTTTATTGAGAATTTTTTCAAGTAAAATCATAAGGAAAATTAGTGTGTAATTCTCTTTCTTTGTTGGATCTTCGAATTGCTTGGGTACCAGTGTATGACATCACTTAAAAATTGATCAAGGTTCTTTCTCTTTCTATTTTGTGGTATAATTTGAAGAGTATTCATATTAACTTTTCTTTGATGTTCTAATAGAATTCTGTGCTAAAACCATCTGGGCCTGGGCTGTGTTTGGTTGGGAGACATTTAATGACTGCTTCTAACTCACTATGTGTTATAAGCCTATTTAAATTGCTTATCTAGTGTTGATTTAACTTTGGTAACTTGTATGTATTGAGGAAATAAGCCATTTATTTTAGATTTTCCAATTTGGTGGAGTACATGTTTTTAAAGTACATCCTTATGATTCTTTGGATTTCCTCCATGTCTATTGTTATATCCTCCTTTTGATCTCTAATTTTCTTAATTTTGATATTGTACTAGTTTTAATGTGTCAACTTGACACCAGCTAGAGTCATCAGAGAGGAAGGAGCCTCACTTGAGGAAATGCCTCCATGAGATCCAGCTGTAAGGCATTTACTGATCAGTGGGGGAGGACCCAGCCCATGGTGGGTGGTGCCAACCCTGAGCTCTTAGTCCTGGGTTCTATAAGAAGGTGGCCTGAGCGAGCCATGGGAAGCAAGCCAGTAAGCAGCTCCCTTCCATGACCTGTGCATCAGCTCCTGCCTCCGGCCTCCTGCCCAGTTTGAGTTCCTGTCCTGATTTCCTTCAGTGATGAACAACAATGCTGAAGTGTAAACCAAATAAACCCTTTCCTCCCCAGCTTGCTTTTTGGTCATGGTGTTTCATCACAGTAATAGAAACCCTAATTAAGAGAGATATTTTTCTCTCTTCCTTAGTTATTTTGATAGGAGTTTGTCAATCACTTGGTTTTCTCAAATAAGCAACTCGTTATTCCATTTATTCTTTATACTTTGTTTTTTTTCTATTTTCTTGATTTTATCTCTGAGTTTATTTTTGGGCATCTACTTCTTTGTGTGTGATTTCTTCCTTTTGTTCTAGAGCTTCTGGAGAGTTATTAAGTTACTATTATTAGATTTCTCCAAGTTTTTATGTAGCACTTAGTTCTATGAACTTGCCTCTTAGAACTGCCTACATTGACTTTTAATATAAGAATGTTGTGCACAGAATACCATTGTTTTCACATTTCTTTCAGATGGCTTTGACTAAATATGTAATGTCATGATTTTAAAACTGTGTGTTTTGCATAGTCAGAACTATGTATTCTGAATATGTCTTATGATCAAAGATATAACATGCTTAGGATCTCTTCCTAGAGCCTTAATTACATGTTCCTAAGATTGTTTATATACAGTATCTTTACAATTATTACTGCTGACAATTTGAACTTAGGATGATTCATACATGCTCCAAGGAAATAATGCTTCAATTTAGTGATCCTAATTTCTATCAGAGTGCTCCATAGCTGAGTTTTTAGTCCCCCAAAGTTTGCATGTGGGTATCAATTTGTTCAAAATGAGACAAGCTTTGTTCTTTAAAATCCTTCAACTTTTTCAAAAATCTATTTTCTGCTTGTTCCCGTTATTGGCATTTGATGCAACAGAACCAACTTCCCTCCAAGTGCTATGAAATACATGTTTAACAATTGTAAAAATCTTAATCACTGAAAACAGCACTGCTAAGCTCCAATTACATAGGCAGTAGGGCAGGTGGACTTTATAGTTCCTATACTCATGGTGGAACAGGTTGTTCAAGGATATGATAGGGCTGCAGTCTTCCTTGGAGACTCAGAAGGATCTGATTCTTGCCTCATTCAGAGTTTGAACTTAATTTGCTTATTACAGAGGATGGTCATCTGAGTACCGTGGTTTCCTCAGAGGAAACTGTATTTCTTCCCATGCATTCCATTCTACTTCAGACAATAATTGCAGGTTGAATCTCTACTATTATTCAACTCTGACTTTCCAAAGAGTGACAGCTGTCTGAGTCTATCTGGGTAGATCACTATGACTTATTGTATCTTAGGTGATGAGAATGGAACTGATGGGCTTCAGGATCATAATGTCAGTGACATCTGCATGATGTCTGTCCCACCTGACATATTCATAGTTTGGAGGAATCAGGGATTTGGAATCTTTGAGGAAAATTCTGCACTT